TGTACTGTGGCAAGCAGATTGTGTAAAAAATACCACCAAAAGGTGATTCTTGCGAGTTAGTGAATTATGTTGCTAAATAGTCACGTGTCTTCGCTTGTGCCACACTAACCAAATACAGTTTTCATTGCAGTGACTACTGTAGCTGAACTGAAGCAATTTCTACAATGGAAGCGAATCAAGCTCTTGCTTGAGCAAACTGTTCTCCACTTTATCAGCATACATCGCGAGAATTAAACTGTCAACAGTAACTCAAGAGTTCAGCGGTAACTGGTGGCTGATTTATTTGCACAAAATGAACGATTTCTTCAGTTATCTTAGTTAATTCTTGATGGGAATTCGCTTCGTTTGCACATCAAACATATTTGAGAATTTTTTTTTGAAGCGTTATGATAGGTGAAGCAGCGCAGATTATATCTGATCTAACTGCACTCCGCTCCATCCACATAGCTGACAGGCACTGGACGTGAATCTAGCACTTCGGGGTGGCTAGGTTATCGCACTCTTTTGCTTGGCTAATAAGCTTTGTGCAGGGTCAACTATGGTGCCATGCACAAGCTCTCATTGTTGATGTAGGTTCCACGGAGCATAATCAGTTGACAAAAACACAAAAACTTGTTTCTAGCCTGCACTGGCTACTGTCTCACTCCACGCAGTGATGGCTGGACTAAGAAGATGAATTATTTCACAATGGCAGGTTAGACATTGAGATTCGTTGCCCTTTGGAATACTTGACGTCCGTGTAGGTAGCTAGTACCCAGGCCTTCCTATCCGGAGATAGTTCATTCATAATCTGAATTGAGGATAACGTTGGCCTGCAGTTTTCTGGAGACAGTTTTATTAGATTTTCGAGAATCCCTTAGTTGAAACTTCATGCTTAGCCAATCTTAGATGAGTTGTCCTGGCACGCACTATTTCGACTCTTAAAGGGCGCAATCAGTAGAGTTGATTTTATACCCGACTGCACTCGGTTCTGTTTCAAACAATTCGATTTTCAAGATCCAATTAGTTCATTTACATAGCGCTGTGGTGATTAACGTACTAAATGAAATATACACACATCTTTTGCATGTTCAGGTGACCTGAAACTAATCGGATTACCTACCAACGTAACTTTTAGGATGTCTGAAGTAATCATCGAATTTGATGGTCAAAACGCAGCTGTGCGCTGTGTACAGCACAACAAGCAACAAGCAAGATATAGAGTAAACAGTGGTCCCACAGCAAACGCTTTAATATCTTTTCCGTATGTTTTATGTCTTTTTATTCAATGCCTTGCACGCCAGCCTACCACGTGTGTACATCTTGACTCGTCTTGTAGGCATAACATGTAAAGCGATCAGAGAATCAGCGAACTTTACCAACCGGATTCATGAATGGTAATACAAACGCTCAGGAATGAAAATAGTAGCGGATGTCTGACACAGAGAAAAAATTTTACTTTGTGGTTAGAAAAGTCCTCATGGGGATGGATACCGAATCGAAGTAGAAACTCAGTGGATTGTATGAATTCAAGTAGAGCAGAGAGATCTGTTGGGAACAGAACTGTCTTACTGAAATACTACCCTACTATTAAGCCCAACACTTCATATACAATGACGCAGAATACCAGACGGTCCTCCAAAAACCGAGGTACAAAATTAATACAGAAGAGTTGTGGGGTTTTGTTGGGAACTGAATTTAGAGGAGATGTTAAAAAGGAACCAGCTGAACTGGACCCGGTGGTTTGCTTACTTAGAAAAGTTCTCCCAGTCCCACAGATCTGAACTTCTGAAAAAAAACATTAGCTACCAGATTAAAAATCGTTTATCTGGTGTCAGATACCTGCGTCAGCTGACAAATTCGTACCTATGGCAGCACAATCTGTTCAAAAGCGAAATTTTACCGTTTCTTTAATTCGAACGCGTATTTAAGGTAGATAACACCGATTACGTTGTTTCCGAGAAAAAATAGACAAGCGTGCTAACCAAGCACCCGTGTACCGAATTCTGCATCGTGTGCTCTTAGAAACCACTTTGGATTTTTCATGGAATGTTTCAATAAACTTCTTGATATTACAAAAAAACAGTAATGTTAGCTATCTCGATACAAGTCTCAAGATGAATCTGTGCGAACTACCCCAGAGTATATTTTTCCATGCCGTACGGCATTATGCCGCACGAGATTTACCATGATTTTCATGTGATTACCCCAGTAGTTTTAATAAGTAGTCTTCTAAAATGTGATGCGTTGTTCTTGCGTGAAAAATACAAGTGTGAGCTTAACTTTGGCTTGTAATAATGTTAGCTGATTCCAAGAGGCAATCAAACGCATCCTTTTCAGGGTGATTGTCGGTGTCGACCGTGTAGATAATGCCGTCTCTGGCCAAACATATTGAACTGGCCAGCAAGCCACCACTGGGGCAGATTCGGTTTCTGCACGCTCTCATTATGGGGCAGGTCATGAAATGGGGACTGAAAATAAGCGTGCAAGCAAACATTTAATGGTTATTTTGTCCATTACGTGAGGCCAACCTATGCATCGTATAGCTGTTTGATCCCTATTTGGAATCACCAGCAGTGGGCGCCTCACGAAATTCCAGGGAGTCTCAAGCCAGTGGCCTCCGTGGTAGTAGTCGAACACTTAACCGCTCGGCCACGAGTTGGTGATCAACAGTGAGATTAATTTACAGTTAGGATATAGCGCCATTCATCCTTCAACACCAGAATCAGTCTGCAGTGGTTTCATCCTCACTGGGAATCACCAGCTGTGTGAATCTCACGAAACCCAAGGAATTTTTTTGGGATACACACTGTGGATGATTCTTAGTAAGGGTGAAACAGCTGCACAGTCTTCACCTGGGTTTCCTTACAAGACGGAATCTTTCATAAACGTTCCCATATCTTTTCACATTAGCAACAAGCGAATCACGTTTTCGGTTGAACAAAACACCAAAACTGCCTTTATTGTGTGAATCATTCAGGTACACTAACGTTAACTAAAGTATGTCACTGCCCTGTATTTTTAGGGGTTCTTTTATAAAAAAATGGACACATCTGGTTTCTACAAAATTAAGTTTCTTGAAACTGCCCGTCACAACATATGCGCAGATGACTGTTGCTCGATCAATAGACTCTATGTGAAAGAATTGTGCAGATTGATTTTGACCCAAAAGAAACATTGTGACTAACAACTATGTATCTTCTCATAGGTGGACTGTGTAACTTAGCAGCACAGCTACCGAATGGGTCTGTTACGTTTGATTAACACTGGTACTAAACTAAAGAGATCACGAAAGCTGTCTTCGACATTGAACTATTTAGTGAGGTACTTTTTCCCCAGTTTCGCAGAGCTTACTTACTTGCTTGCTTGCTTACTTACTTACTTACTTACTTACTTACTTACTTACTTACTTACTTACTTACTTACTTACTTACTTACTTACTTACTTACTTACTTACTTACTTACTTACTTACTTACTTACTTACTTACTTACTTACTTACTTACTTACGAAGCTTACTGATGAAGCAGGAGTCGATTGTACAGAGTGGAAACTGTTTGATGGACACGATTCCTTTATGACCTGGCTACACAGCGCATTCGGTGGCCGTTGCGGTATAACTTTTTACCCCAGATTGTCTCTTGGGTGCAGGAACTTTTGGTCGGACGACACTATTTTGTACCTATTTATCTTCTCTCGTTTGTACTACCATACCTTTAACGAATAGTGCACTACTGTTTGGTAATTGATCAGGTGGCTGTTGATCTGTTCGCCGAGCTTGGCAATTGATTTGCAAACGTTTCGTCACCATTCGAGGAGATATCTTCAGTGCGCTGTTGGTTGGGTAGCTCCTCTCTTCGTGCCTGCGTTTATATAGTCTGCAAAGAGCAGCCTTTGTGCTGTTACCTGGATTCTGGTTGGTCCGATCTTAATCTGTGTTGCGTTGTGGTTTGTATTTCTTGCCGTCGGTTGTCTCTTGCGGTTGGCCCGTTCTTGATCTGCATTGCGTCGTGGTCGGCTTCTTACTACTGTATAATAATAAGGACAACATTAATGACAATAATAATATAACTGTCTCTCTAAAGATACCTTACCAACTCGATTCGATCTCTTACTGAAATGTATCTTTTTGGAAACTACTTACTGGTGATGTGCGCAACCAAAAGAAATGAGCACATTGTCTCAAGCCCCGACATCGTTTCCGTTAACTGTAGTATGGCAGTTCTTACAATCCGAATAAACCCGACGGCAATTACCCATGAATTCATCTTAGTAAAACTTCAGTATCTACATCCTAGTCACTACTTGAGGGCTCGCTGAAGCACGGTAAACCGTATTTTTGTATCTCCTTTATCACGCGTTTTACCTCCCGTCACTTTGTCTGCGCAACGAAGTAAAACACACGCATCGTATGCACTTCAGGAAATTTCCACTTGTAGATCTCACTTAGTTCCCCGTTTGTTAAATCGATAGCATTTCTGTGGACGTTATTTTCCGTAAATTGCAAAGGGATATTTTGAGTAAGCTTTCATGTAAAATTTGATGGGTAAAATGAACGATCAAACTGACAGTGAATCAAAAGTTTTGATCAAGTTTATTTACGCTCGGCATAAGCGGCCGGCTGGGCACGAAGCCGTTAAGATACTACTACACGTCCTATCCTACTTCGCTTACCTAATGTGTAGGAGGTCTTTTACGGGCTAATGTCTCATTTTAACCAGATCTTGTAGTGAAGACGTTTTCTCTTCATGTGGCTCCAGTTTCTTAGAGATGATCGCAACCCAGTGAGTGGATCAGGTACAAGCCACGCCTAAAGATTTCTATCGATAAGTGTGACAGACGAGTTCATATTTCTTAGACAGCAAACCATTGCTCTAAGTTTACTTTTCCTCTCAGATCTACCGACTATTTTCCACACTTTTCCGGAAACTTGACGAACTTTGCTTATGCAGCTTGTGTAGCAATTTACTGTTCATATTCTGCAAGACGAGTTATCATTTCGCCCCCATGATTCTTCATAGGTGAAGCTTGGATGCCTTTCTCAGAATTACCGGAGTTGTCGAAAATCGCGTTGACCGGTGTGGACAACCCAGACATTCAAACGCTGGCGGACGCCTTACCTCCGGAAGCACGCGAAAGACTGCTAGCGGAACAACAAGGACATCAAACGCAATTACCGGGTCCTTCCAAAAGCAGTCGGCTTGGCCAGTAGCTGCTAGTCCCTCAATACTCGACAAAAAGCGCTGTGTTTTACAGTACTGAGTATTTGGTTAGATCACTTATTTTCACTTTATTCAGTTGTCTTTTATTTTGAAGAAGCAAAGTGAATTGCCATTGTTTGTTTTTATTTATGATCATCCTTCGTTTTGTTGAAATATATCACTTCTTTGCAAACAATTGGTGCGCACCGAAAAGACCGCAAAATAATACGGGTAATTCTTCCTAGCGGTATTTCCACGGATTCTGGTATTCACTTTGAACGGACCGCTGTTTAGTCCTGTCTAGAACAAGGTACGTGCATTGTTTCGTAATAAATCTCGAGTATGCCAAGAGAAGCGCCGAAAGGCTGCTTTTTGGTGCACAGATTTGACATTACCGTTATATCCTTATTTAATTAGGTTGGCTAAATGCCAACACCATTCGGACCCACATACAAAGTTGGTTTTGTACTTGCATGCAGATGAGCCTTTCCTTGAAAAAGGTGTGGTACCCGATCATTGGGAATGGTGAAGTCAGCTGTATTGATTTTGAACACATAGAGTTGTTTCTGGACAAAAAATAGAGGTGTACAACTTATTCATCGTGAGGTTTCTAAACGCACACAGTTATCTCGGGTAAGATCAATCTTAATTTTGGCACAATGTATATCTAATGACCACAATCTAAGTTGGCTTTAGGAATTTTTTCTTCTGGAAACCATTATGGCTTCTACAGGACATTGTTAGGAGTTTATTAAACAGTTTCCCTATTGTTGTTGGTATTGTTGCTTCTATATCGACACTCTAAACGTTATCATCGTGCCCACTAGCATCACTAAACTTATGGAATTCACAGTCGTCACTTGTAGTTCTGGTAACAATACCGTACCCATCATACATTCAATTCAGACGCGTTTATGTTGCGTAAGATATCCACAGTTCATGGTAGGATATAGGACAATATAGGGTGTAATGAGTACAGTTCCGGAGAGTGTTTTAAGTTATTTCGCAGTTAATTAATCTTAGGGCGAGATGGACCAAGTGGTTAGAGCGCGAATTTACTGACCGGAAGGTCCGTGGTTCGAAACCGACCTCTGCCTCTCGACTTCCTCTGTCTAGGCTTAGGCAACCTGGCAGTATCCCAGCCCTCGTGCCTCCTTCGTGTGGCATGGAAGCTAGGCACCGAAAGGGTGCTACAGCTGAACGATCGAACGAGTGCCCCACTTAGATGATAATCCACCTCCCTTCGGTGACTGCCAGTACATGATCGGTATAAAGTGCGTTATTCAGTGAGCCATATTTTAGGTACGGCAGCAAATTTACCATTTTCACCCAAGAACTAATGTAGCACGTGTGCACCGCATCGCGACGGCTACGGGTAAAAGGAAGAACGTTTTCGTTGCGGAGTTATTTACTTGAAAACGCCAACTGAACAGTTACAGACTATTAGACAGGGAAGCAAAACTCTCACATACATCTTGTTTACAAAAAATGAATATCCATCCTCTCTTTGAACGCGTCTTCCTGGACCCTCCTGGATATTCATTCATTGACTTTTGCTCAAATCCAAGCAAACGCTGCAAAGCGACTCCACAAATTCCGCAATAGATCTCACTTTTCAAGAGACGCAAAGCGGATTTACGAGAAAACGTATTAATTGCATACCTCCCCCACCAGTAGTATCACAGTTACATGGGTAGTAGGTCCTTGATCACGCCAAAGGTGAGCCTGGAGCTCGAAACTCGGTCACATCAGTGCTTTCAGTCTTACAGAACCCATCTGGTGGACATAGGGAGTCCGACACTTGACTCTTTGAGAAACAGCGTTTGATCCCTCCATATCCGCCAAATGAGTTTGAATACGAACGAAAGCGCTCGCGTGGCTGGAACCATTTGCACTCGAAGCTTGACGTCAACAGTCGGGCTAAATACTAGACTCATAAACTAGTATCAGGCTCTCCACCAGGATTGGTGGCTAATCGGATAATGTGTATCATAGATTGGCTCTAATTAAAAGAATAAAGCTCCATTTAAAAATCCCCAAATCTCCTCAGACTAGCTATAGTCCATAAATATCTCTGAAGGAAAAGGAATTCGCATCTGAAAAGTCACCAGAGAAGCTGTCAACAAGTGGCCACGTGATGTTTGTCCCCTAACTGAAGTACGAATGGCTCCATTGCTTGGCCAAGTGTGAGCTAATCCCACTACTGACAATCCACTCGTGGCCGCGCTTGGGCTTCTATCCAAGGAGGCTGCATATTCGAAAATCTTTGGAGTTTCGCGATGCACGCACTGATGATGATTATTCACCAATAGTCGGACGAGTGTCTAAATCAGCCAACAGCTGGTTCGACCGTCATTTGCGCCAAAAGTTTTTTTCATCTTCCATGTAGCGAGCGTAGGTCACGCAGTACGAAATTTGATATCAAAACTTGACCAGTGTTTGGAGTTCCATGGACCGAATCAGGTAGTTAATATCATCTACTTGTACACTAATGCTGTTACTCACTTCATTTCTCAAAGGAGATTTTATTGTATCGGTATTGCTTAAGGAACAAAACCATAAGGATGCTGCCCCGTCTTTGCTATTTCACATATTAAGATAGGTATACCACAGACAAACGCGAGTGAGTGGTTGAGGAATTTGTAGAATTCATTTTCACGCCACTTTCGTTTAGACTTGTCCTCCTGTCCTGGAACAGTTATTCTGATGAGCCTACAACAAAAGAGAGGAGCATCAGACACGAGCTTTGCTCTTATTAGAGGTTATCGACAGTGCTTATCCTTGTTCGTGTCGGGGCCCGAACTTGTTAGTGATCGGGTTGTATTGCACTTAGGTTGATTATCAAGTGACAAGCACTAACAAATGGTGTTTTACCAGAATGATGATGAGTACAATAGTCATGTGCATTTGATAAAAATATATACAATGCATAAATGGAATAAGGCAAAAAATGAATTGTCGTTTGAGGAAAACTTTTGTGTTCCTGAATGAAGCTTCGGACGCCGGACATGTTTTGCCTGAAGTATAACTGCTACACGTGTTCCATAGTTGTCTGTGGAAACTTGTGGAGCTCGGTTGAGTTCCTGTCCTGTGCACTCGAGTGTTTGTGAGCTGAGTTGCATGCTTATTTACTGTGTGCAGTGTGAAGAGAGGAGTGTCCCTTCGTGTTTGATGCCAGCACGAACATGAATACAACTTGAGCTGATGTGTTGAAGTTCACGAGTCTGGCGCGTTACCCAACTGGTAGCCACGTACACAAAACTGGATGGGAAATTGTAGTGTACGGGTTGTCAGCTCAGGTTGCAGGTAGGACAGGAATCGTTACGTGATGTGAATGTTTGTGACACGTGATTTAGTGAGTAACCGTCACAAACTCCACAAATCTGATGTGCTAGGCGGCCTAGTTACTACAACCAGTGCGAGCTGGACGCATCTGAACTCTCACGTGATAAAGAATCACTCCACCTCTGAACATAACAAAGTTCCCAGAGAAAGGGAGTTCCAGGATAGGGAGCTCAAAGCTCCTCTTACATTGGAATGATGATGCGTGAAATGTCGTCTAATGCAAAAGTGCTTTACAGAAACCTTTCCAATCTGGATCTTTTCATTAGGGCTTCTGTGATGAAGAAAATTTTTCTCACATTTTCAAATATACTTTAGACACGGGTAACCATTTTTGGGTCACGTATCCTCCATAAGAGCCTTACAGTCATCCAGTGTCTGTTGTGTTTGGACCGCTAAAACAGAATCAAACTCGTAAAGGAAACTACTCACAAGGCTGCTGAAAACTCTTCGACAGCCCACGACCGTTTTCGCCCTTCTTGGGGCTCTCGGGGACTGCGCCTACCTGAAGAGCCCGTTTTCAAGACAGACTAAGGTGGAGAAGCTTATGTATATCAGGACAGCGGTTAATTCTGTCAGACAAACTCAGCCATGTGGTGTAACATCAGATTATCCACATATGCACCCTTATGCATGAATCCCTAGGTGTTATCTCCTGGGTCATCCGGGTCGGTCCCGAGGGATGTGCACACTTCGGATTGGTTTTCTACAAAGCACTAATTCAAATGAACAAGGTAGATATAAGAATGGGGTGATAACCTGAACTCTTATTGTGGCTGAAAGACTAAAGTATTAGGTAAAACCTTGTTCATTTTTATTAAGGCATAGCTTCTCATGATCATCATTATTTCAACAAATGAAACGTATTTTATGGAGTGAAAGTGCTTGCCTCATTTATAAACCCGACTGTTGCGGTCTTAAAGTTCAGTTCACAATCGTACTTGATCTCAGTGCAGTGAACACTGAAATTCCGATTCACTGTGTGGCTAATTAGTCATCGGAATAAAAGCTAAAACCAAAGCAGTCTGGTCAACTCACTGTGTATGACAGCAAGAAGAGGAGGGGCGTCTGTTGGTTAAAGACAACACACAAATTTTAGACTGCTTTTGTGTTTTAGCACACACAAAGTTCAGATAAAGACGACGCCACTGGTCTCTGGATGACTGAGCAGCCTACTAGGTGGTAACTAAGGTACGCACGTACACGGAGCTCTCACATTGTCAACCAGCATGGACAGGTATTCAACTCAGTTAAGGTGGAAAGTTATCGATTTACCCATACGAAACGAATATGTGTCTCATTTACGCACTCAGCTACAAGCCATCAGTATACCTTCATGATTATGTGCGTATTGTTGTTGAACACGAGTAGGTCTGAACAACCTGCTGTTAGATATTATTCACCTGCGTATCCCTCGGAAACACTGACTCAGTTACAATAAGAAGGATCGTTTAGTATGTCTAATGAGGTTATTGATTAATGTGAGCACCTAAGATGGCTGACTGACGGTTCCACACACTGACATTCTGTGCGCCGACTGAATGTCTTGACGGCCTGACATGCTTACGAAGACTACATTTTACCGGGAAAAAATCGACCAGCTATGTCATTTGTATCTTTGAAGCTCGTAAACATAGATGGGTTGTTTGAAAAGTTGTTCAGCAGCACATGAAATTTATTCATTTTACTCTGTACTGTCTTTAACAAACTAATGGCTAAGGTAGGATAGACGATAATCAATTCACCCTGCTTCTACTCTAATCTGGCCGCGGTAAACTTGGATGCGTTCATTGGTGCTAAGAATTTTTGGACGATTGAATCGATTTGAGAGCACCCGACAGAAAAA